TTGATAGAAATAAATTTATGTATATAGTGTTCTCTTTAATGCTTTGCTGATTGTGACCAGCCTTGACTTTGCAATTGTACCCCGTTTGACTCGTCAGCAGTCTTCCTTCCTCAATCTTGGAATTATTTTATATATTATGTAATAACTGAAACTAGTTCTTCAGAGATGTACGTATCTCAATTTTATGCCAAATAATTATTTACCAATATTTAGTAAACATTTTTTTATATAAAAAAATTAGTAATTCATCTTATTTTTATTTTAAACTTGAATATTTATTATTAAAAAAAAAACTTCATTCATTTTTTAAAGTAACAATTTCTTTTTCTTTTAATCTTTATGCTCAGGATGATTTGTTCAAATTAAACTTTATTGAATAATATTTTCACTAAAAAAAATTTTCAATTTTTCTTCTGCTAGGTACTTTTTGCAAACATTCTTCTGTTAATAATCCTTTATTAAACATTTAATAAAAAAAAATTTCATCAAAGAAATTGAAAAGAAATTCTTATTTTCAATTCTTCTGTAATTTTCAGATAAAAACCGTAACTAATTGTTATAAATCTTCATAATATTTAATCCTCTCACTTGTCCAAGTGGCTACACACTTCCGACAAGGTTGTTTTTTTATTCGAGGAAATAGTACCGATTTATTAAGGAAACCAGTGCTTGCCGATCGCAAGGGTGGTTACCGTGCCCTAGAATCGACGTTAGCGAGTCAAAAAAAAAAAATTTTAACTACCCGCACTTGTCAAAAACACAAAAATAAATTATTTCTGAAAAGAAAAATAAATACAATGAAATATTTCATAATAAACATAAATTGAACATCATAAATCGATTCAGTATTTCTGTTATGCATATTATATGTGTATAAGTGTATATATATGAAAGTATTTTTTTTAAATTTAATTATTATATTTCACATGATCTTTTTTCTTCATTTTTTTATTTTTTTAAATATAAGAAAGTCATCCCACCGCTGCCACCATTTTTGTTAAGGATGAATTTTGAATACTTTAATTTATTAATCAAAATTCTTATTTTTACAAAAACTAGTTTTAACAATTTGCTAACAAATTAATTAAACACAAAAATTTAAATAAAAATGTCTCAAGGTAAAACGTTATTTGCCCTTCGAAAATAATTTATTTATTTAAAGGTAGTGGATCCTTTCTTAGATTATTATTGTTCAATAATCCCGGATAGACGGTATTTATATTTAAATAAAAGGAATAAAGTAAAAAAGACGGTGTGAAAAAGTTAATCGTAATAAAACACTACAATATGTGTGTAATGTGATTCTCACAGTTTATTCAACTTTAAATTCTCCAACATTAGAAACAATAATGTGTATCTTATATTTTTACATATATTGACAATTATAGTTATTCCAAATAATTAGCTGTAACTCTTTAGCAATAGTTATTGCACATTTTATATTTAGTTAATATAAACAGAAAAAGGTTTTTATAGAATTTATTAAATTCTTGTAAAATAGTATTGTGTATGACTCTCAATGTGTGTGTGAATAATAGTAGTTATTTGACAATTTTACTCACCAATAAAAATAACATATTTTATATATTGTTATTACTCTTAGACTTCTGTGTTTTTCCTCAAATAATCCAAGTTATGTCACTTGAAAAATGACACTATTGTCATCAAAATTGCTTATCGCTTATTCTCTCTAATTTCTTTATTAAGAATCTTCTTTGATTTGTTCCAACAATAATAAATTAAGAATTTCAAATCAACTTACAATATTCAAACTACAGGGTCACTACATTTAAATATTTGGTTGATGATATTATTTAATCAATCGATTTTAAGTGCATTAGACGGAGGTTGATATTTCTAATATCAATGAGACTTTAATTATTTTAATTTATTTTTGTTCAATTCAAATTATTTCTTTACTACTTTATTACTACTCAAATCACTTTCTTTCACAGAACTTCAATTCAATATTTAAATCAACTTTCTTTTATTATAAATATTTCACTTCACAATTTATGTCGTATAAATTCACTATAATTATTAAATTCACAAATCAACCCTTCTTTTGGGGATAAAATATAAACCTCCGACTTTGCGGGAAATGCAAAATATAAACTCTACCAATTTTCGGTAGAAACAATATATTACGCAGCCTTACTGCGGGAGGAACAAATTCAGACTCAATCGTTAAATCGATCGAAGTTATGGATCACACCCTGAAATTGCATTAAAATGTTAATAGTGGGGAGACTGTTACACACAGTTCATTAAACTTCTTTGTTGCCAGGCAAGCTTTTCGCAAGCTTGCAAATTCCTAAAGTTAGCTAACACGAGTTCAATGCTCTAAATCCACTATACTTTTAATGTGCATGTTGCTTTTCTTGATATTTAAAACAATACATTTAGAGTCTTCCACTGGAAAATAACTCTTTCCAAATATGGGTGTTGTCCATACTTCTTAGCGATTCTTAATTTTAATAAATTAAAATGTCATTTAATATTGTTAGTGCAAAAGAAAATATATCCAAATTACTATTTAGGTAAAATTAAGGATAAAAAATAGTAAATTTGTTACTTTTAAATGATAGATAGTTTGAATTGTCTTTGTGTGAATGATTTGTATGCTATAGTGTACTTAAATCTAATTACAAAATTCCCAATTTTTTAAACGAAGTTATATAATATAAGAATTTTTAATTTATTAAAAAAATTAAAATAGTTACGAAGTCATACGTAACATTCAGTAGAAAAATCTTCAAGGAAAGTTTTTTTTTTTTTTTACTTAGCCTAGAAAAATAAACTAAAATTAAAAGAAGTTTGCAAAAAATTATTTTACTAATTGTTTTTATTTGAGAAAAGTCGACTTGAAAAACATTTTCATTAGAAGAATCTTCATGGAAAAGTACTTAGTCTATAAAAATAAACTAAAATTAAAAGAACTTTGCAAAGAATTATTTTACTAAATGTTTTTATTTTTTTAAGAGAAAAGTCGACTTGAACGAATAGGAACTTATGTATTTTCTGCTCGGAATAGTCGAAAAATATTTTTAGTAGAAAAATCTCATGGAAAAGTGCTTAGTCTATAAAAATCCACTAAAATTAAAAAAACTTTGAAAAAAATTGTTCTACTAATTGTTTTTATTCTTTTATAAGAAAAGTCGAAATGAACGACAAGGAACTTCTGCATTTACTGTCCAGAATAGTCGTAAAATATTTTCAGTAGAAAAATCTTCATGGAAAAGTACTTAGTCTATAAAAAATCGAGTAAAATTTAAAAAGCTTTGCAAACAATTTTTTTACTAATTGTTTTTATTTAATCTTTTACAGTTTGAGGCCAATTTGCTTTTAGATTACACTCTAAGAAACATTTTTTAACCAATTTAAGCATAAAATTTAACAATTTCCTTGACTTAAATGAAACTTTTTCCGAAATTACAATGAAAAATTGAACAGAAAAATTATTGTCTTTAGCCATGGTTCTCTCATGGTAGACAAGGTAGAGTCTTTAGCCAAGGTTCTCCCATGATAGACAAGATAGTGTCTTTAGCCATGGTTCTCCCATGGTAGACAAGGTAGAGTCTTAAGCCAAGGTTCTCCCACGCTAGACATGGTAGAGTCTTTAGCCATGGTTCTCTTATGGTAGACAGGATAGTGTCTTTAGCCATGGTTTTCCCATTGTAGACAAGGTAGAGTCTTAAGCTAAGGTTCTCCCACGCTAGACATGGTAGAGCCTTTAGCCATGGTTCTCCCATGGTAGACAAGGTAGAGTCTTAAGCCATGGTTCTCCTATGGTAGACAAGATAGTGTCTTTAGCCATGGTTCTCTTATGGAAGACAAGGTAGAGTCTAAGCCAATCTTTTCCCACGCTAGACAAGGTAGAATCTTTAGCCAAGGTTCTCCCATGATAGACAAGATAGTGTCTTTAGCTATGGTTCTCCTATGGTAGACAAGGTAGAGTCTTAAGCCAAGGTTCTCCCACGCTAGACATGGTAGAGTCTTTAGCCATGGTTCTCTTATGGTAGACAGGATAGTGTCTTTAGCCATGGTTCTCCCATTGTAGACAAGGTAGAGTCTTAAGCTAAGGTTCTCCCACGCTAGACATGGTAGAGCCTTTAGCCATGGTTCTCCCATGGTAGACAAGGTAGAGTCTTAAGCCATGGTTCTCCTATGGTAGACAAGATAGTGTCTTTAGCCATGGTTCTCTTATGGAAGACAAGGTAGAGTCTAAGCCAATCTTTTCCCACGCTAGACAATGTAGAATCTTTAGCCAAGGTTCTCCCATGATAGACAAGATAGTGTCTTTAGCCATGGTTCTCCCATGGTAGACAAGGTAGAGTCTTAAGGCAAGGTTCTCCCACGCTAGACATGGTAGAGTCTTTAGTCATGGTTCTCCCATGGTAGACACGATAGTATCTTTAGTTATGGTTCTCCCATGGAAGACAAGGTAGAGTCTAAGCCAATCTTTTCCCACGCTAGACAAGGTAGAGTCTTTAGTCAAGGTTTTCCCATAGCACCAAGATAGTCTCTTTAGCCATGGTTCTCCCACGCTAGACATGGTAGAGTCTTAAGCCAAGGTTCTCCCACGCTAAACATGGTAGAGTCTTAAGCCAAGGTTCTCCCACGCTAAACCTGGTAGAGTCTTAAGCCAAGGTTCTGCCATGGTAGACAAGATAGTGTCTTTAGCCATGGTTTTCCCATGGCAGGAAGATAGTGTCTTTAGCCATGGTTCTCCCATGGTAGACAAGGTAGAGTCTTAAGGCAAGGTTCTCCCACGCTAGACATGGTAGAGTCTTTAGCCATGGTTCTCCCATGGTAGACAAGATAGTATCTTTAGCCATTGTTCTCCCATGGAAGACAAGGTAGAGTCTAAGCCAATCTTTTCCTGCGCTAGACAAGGTAGAGTCTTTAGCCAAGGTTTTCCCATGGCAGCAAGATAGTCTCTTTTGCCATGGTTCTCCCACGCTAGACATGGTAGAGTCTTAAGCCAAGGTTCTCCCACGCTAAACATGGTAGAGTCTTAAGTCAAGGTTCTCCCACGCTAGACATGGTAGAGTCTTTAGCCATGGTTCTCCCATGGTAGACAAGATAGTATCTTTAGCCAAGGTTTTCTCACGCTAGACAAGGTAGAGTCTTTAGCCAATGTTCTCCCATGATAGACAAGATAGTGTCTTTAGCCATGGTTTTCCCATGGTAGACAAGGTAGAGTGTTAAGCTAAGGTTCTCCCACGCTAGAGCTTCAGCTAGTGTTCTGCATCACCTTGTTTACCATGGCATAACCCTGGCTGATGGCAATTATTTATTATTTTGGTCATTTTAGACCTTTTTCTGCTCCTAGGCCTATTTCTGACCTTAAGTGGTGCACTTTTGACTTCAGTATTTTGTTTAGCATTCGAATAACTTCATATCCATGAAGTTTCTAAACAATTTCACTGGAAGATTTTTTACGTACATTTTGTGCGGGGTCCTTACTGTTTATAAAATATAAGTGTTTAAAAAATAAGGTAAAGCATGTTTATTGGGTTTTTCAAGTGTAATTTAATGCTATTTTTTTGGTTTTTAATTATATAATAATTTTAAGTAGCTTCCTATAAGGTAGGAGAGCATAGAACGTCTTGAAACGGCTATATTTAATATCCTGAGGTTGTCTATGTTCTAAACACATCTTTATCTTTATGATAAGTGAATAGTCTACGTGCTTATTTATTATCTAAATCATATCGTACGTTTTACGAAAATAATTAGATATATGTTATTTAAATAAAATATTTTATGAAGTATAGTGTGTTGAGTTTAAGGGTTTTTTATGTTAAAGTGAATTTATTTAATAATTTAATGGACAGTAAGATGTTAGGTATTTTAAAAATTATTGTGAATAAAGTATCAGCAATCGTTTATTATTTGATAATACGATTTTCTGTTTTTTACATACCATGTAAAATAACTTTTATCTACTTTAAAAGCTTGGAAACATAAGATAAAAAATAAAGAATAAGGTATTAAATTGATAGAAAGAAATACAATGTTACACGAAGATCTATCAGATGTTTAATAAAAATATTTTGTTTTTGGTTTTCGTCTTAAACTTGAGTTAACTCTATTGAAAGAATTTGCATTTGATACTAACTTAAGTAACTGACAAATATATATGTACCGACATTTATCTCACCAGTATTAATTATTTTTGTACCCAGGGGTTATTCTCTAGTACTGTGCATCGCCTATCTCCATAGTCATATGTGACTTCTTTCTCTTTTAAAATGTCCTGCTTTGCAACAAACATTAAATGTGGTACTACTATAGGTTTTAATTGTCCCTTACGTGAATGGTTGATTAGTCTGCCATATCTGTCGGTTTCGATTGTAGCATCAATGCAGTATCGTTGATCTTTATGAGCAAAGAAAAATAAATAACTGCCATAGTTTCCATTTTGCTCGTAATATTTTTCACGCTGATAACCAAGTTTTTCTTTAATTAAATCGCCAATATATTCAACAATGAATTCGTTTTTATAAAAAGCACGTTTTGTTATTATTCCACGTCCTTTTCCTGGAAAATTTTTAATTGCCAATCCGTCCTGTGAACATGATAATATTTTTTCTTCTAATATCAATCGATGAACTTCTAAAGATGAACAATTTTTTATTTTACTTCGCGTATTATGCCCTGAAATGTAAATAATTTAAATTAAAGCCTATTTTAAAATAAGACGATAGATAACGAACATAGGTTTTTAATTTTTTAGTTTTATAAAAGTAAGAAATAGTAATTTTACTTGTTTGCACTTGAACGAAATTTTTGTTGCTGATTATTCAACCAAGTTTTGATTTGCGCAATAGAACGATTGTTAAGGACGGAATGACTTCTTTTAAGAGCTTCAATATCTTTTGCTTTGGGTAGATTATGTTTTTGAACATATTCACCAAAGGTTTCTAGTACACAATTTTTCTCACCTTTCGACCATGGTACTCTTTTAGTAGGTCCAAAAGGAGATGCTGTAATGAAAAAAAATATATAAATTGATTATAATATAAAATTGACTCATTGCAGTTATTTAACTAAGCTTAATTATTTAAAAATCTAAGAATTATTGAAGGACATTTTGGCCTAGATTATAAAACTGTTTATTACTTTATTCTTGAAAAAAATTTTAAACTCAGTAAGAAAACTAATTCAAACGGATTGAAATGAATTAAGATTTTTGGTAGAAAGCGGGATTCACTCAAGCTCTTTGTATATTCGATTAAAGTCGCTTCAGCTTGCCTCAATTTGTGCAAACGAAGTCGCATTCGAAGGAAATTTCCAAAGCATGCATTGAATTCGTGCTGACGAATTAAAACAAATTAAAGGCCCTAAAACTTGTCCATTGAATTGGTAAAAATAGAAGGTTAGGAATTTCAATACAGACAGTTTGACGAATTCAGGAAAATTGCAACATAGTTTCAATTCGCATTTTTCACAAAGCGGGATTTACTGAAGCTTTTTGTGAATTCTTTTTAATTTATCTCAATTAGTTTCTGTTTACTGGGAAGTATGTTTTTTGAAAATAGTATCAAAATAAATTGATAAAAGTAGTTAATGTTACTAGATCGTTTTCTTTTTCCGCCTGCAGAACCATTAGAGACATTGAGTTTATTACCTGTAAATAATTACAATTCAATTATTTGAATTTTATTATAATTTTGTAATGAACTTTGACACGCTTTTGAGATGTATAATTAAATTATTTAATTATAGCTAGTACAAATTCTATTTACCATTATTATTTTTTTGTTAATCAAATTGTTAAATATTGTATTTTAATGTCATTTTTAACTAAACGTCAAAGAAAGTACATTAGAAAAAAATAATTATTCTTACTGGATATCCTTTCTTTCCTTTAGGGATCATCTGAGATATTTAGCACTTCGTTATCTGCAAATAATTCAAGTTTTGTAATAAATAACGTAATATAAGTAGTACATAAATAAAGCTTATTAGGAAACATTATTAGTATGTTAAATAGAAAAGACATAAAGAATAATAGATATCTGTAAAAGGAGAAAACTTACGACTCGCAATATGATCTTGTTCGTTCGGTGTGTTGCTATTTGTTTGAATAGAGACTTCAAAATCTTCAGATTCTTCTTCGTTCTCAGTTTCTGAGTCACTATTGGGAAATTGTTTATCGTCGCCTTGTGCTTGAAGCAACAATTGGGACATTTGAACAATATCTTTCTTAATAGTAGGTTGTCGATATATCCTTTTATGAATATTTGTATCGTGTCCCATAAAATGTGCAAGATTATCAACATCTTTTTCAGATAAATTGAGATTTGTACAAATCGTGGCAACATGTTTTCTGAGTATTGTTCCCCAAAGCGATAAGGGTTTTTCAGCTCCACAATCTACTGAAAATTTTCTTAATAAAATGCAGGCTCTTAGATATTTAAATCTGTGTTTGTCAAATCCAGGTAAACCGAAAACATACGGATTTTTTTGTGGAACTTTAGCTTCTGAGCGATACTTTAAAAGTAAATCGATACACTTCTCAATGTCACAGCGAATCAACAAAGGAACATTGCGACCTAGCTTGCTTCTAATTTCAATTCGGGAGTATGACTTTGCCAATTTCTGGCACGATTTAGGCATAGAATCATATAACTCTTGATCACAATCAGTTAGAATTTTCTTTTTCTCAAAATCCGCTATTAAAAGGCGTTCCATTTCGCCTGATCGTCGACGATTGAATAGTTGTAGAGACGTTAGGACAACTTCTGCCAATCCTTGCCAATTTGAAAAATTAAAATTGTCCTTCAATTCATCAAAGAGATATTTTCTTTTCTCTTGCAAATAATTGTGCAATTTTGAAATATCCTGTTTAGAAGGAAGAGATAGGCGTTCCTTGTTTGTTCTTCTGATATCCATAGTAGTGTCGACAGCAGCCTTATTCATACTTGCTCCATAATCCTCTAATAGCAACTTTAAAAAGTATTCGACTTCAATTTGCTTATCCTTTTGCTCCATTTGAATTGTTAATGTAACGAGACGATTACCAAGTTGCTTCAGCAATGAAAATAAACTCGTCATTATAGATGGAGTTGCGTACGTCCTAGTGTCTTCATTGAAATTAGCTATTATTTTAATTGCATGTTTAGTAACCTCATAAAACTTGGGATGAAAAACAGAAGCCATATCTGTTATGTTTTTATCAAGTTCTTTTACTTGTTGTAAAAATCTTCCAAGTAGTCGCAGCCGTGCTCTAATCATGTCATGTTGATGCTGATACACGCTATATTTTTCACACATTTTGTTTCCAAACGCTATAATTAAATAATCATATCGAATTAAGCGCACCACTTTGTCTTCTCGAAGTACAGGGAAGATAATCTTTCGCAGCATTTTACAAGCCGATTTGTGAATTCTGCCAGTAATTTGACGTCCCATGACAAAAATATTTCTGCTTCCTTTATTAACCTCATTCGAACATACTTTGAAATGATGACGTAATGCACTTTGAGAATAGAAGCCACAGCACTTGGGGCAAACTTTATAATCAGTTCCATATTCCATTTTTATTCGAATCACCAGTCGGTCTCCTACACACCAAAAGATCTCCCTTATTTATTTCAGAATTTGTATTGTAATCAAAGTTACCTTTGTTTCGTAAAGTATCGATGATTTGTCTTCGTTTTACTGATCCTACTGTCAGGCTTGAAAATTTCTTAACGTCTTCTTCATCCTTATGGACTGATTCTAGATGCCTTGCAATTTTGCTGACCTTTTTTTTACAAAAAACACAGCAATACTTTTTGCCGTAACCTTTTGATCCATTGGCCTTTTCTACGATAAGCATTTCGTCGTCTGGCGCATTTGATACAGATACATTAGCAAGTAAACCACTTGAATCCATAGAGTTTTGAAGTGAATTATTAGATTTACCATTTGTATCAATTGTATTTTCTACAATTGCGCTTTCGTCGTCACTGGAATAATCGCTACCATTGCTTCTTGGAATATAGTCTGGATCCAAACTATCATTTACTTCATCAAAATCAATTGCTTCTTCTGTTTCTTGACTTGAATTTATATTAAAATCACATATTTGATTAAGAAAACTTTCCGCGATTTTTAAATTCTGATTACTATTGCAAGAAGAATTACAACGTATATTTTCTGGCAGATTTAAAGTACTGCTGTTCGCAAGATTACTCTCTAAAGAGATTCTGAAATCGGAGTCATTAACTGATTTATCCGAAAGTACTAAATGTTCTTTAACAATTGTGTCGCCGTTTACATTTTGTTGAATAAAATTGTTTAAAATTTCAATATGTCTCAGTAGTGTTTTTTCTTCTTTTTCTGATTGAATAAGTAATTCATCTTGAAATTCCCCACCTTCAAACGTTCCTTCCTCACCAGTTGACATAATTTTTTTTATTTTTATATTTGAATTAAAATTATTTTCGCACGTACTATCATTATAAACTCCATTCAACGTACATATTTGTTGTGTTGATGGTATTGACAACCCATCATTCAGTTTTTCGATAATATTCTGTTCCTTCTTTTTATTGGCAACATCCTCTTTTTCTTCAACATTTTCCTCCTGTCTATTTTTGGTACTATTTTGTGCCTCTTTTAAATTATCGATATACAAGCACTCTTCTACTTTAGAAAATTCGCCTACTAACAAATTAGGGGAATCATTAGACAATTCAGCTGCGGATTCTTGAAGAATTTCTTTATTATCTACATCCTCTTTTTCTTCAACATTTTCCCCCTGTCTATTTGTGGTACTATTTTGTGCCTCTTTTGAATTGTCGGTATACAAGCACTTTTCTACTTTAGAAAATTGTTCTACTAACAATTTTGGGGAATCATTAGACAATTGAGCTGCGGATTCTTGAAGAATTTCTTTATTATCTACATCCTCTTTCTCTTCAACATTTTCCCCCTGTCTATTTGTGGTACTATTTTGTGCCTCTTTTGAATTATCGATATACAAGCACTCTTCTACTTTAGAAAATTCGCCTACTAACAAATTAGGGGAATCATTAGACAATTCAGCTGCGGATTCTTGAAGAATTTCTTTATTATCTACAAATAAACATATAAAAGTTATATATAAGTGATTTTAGTTTAAATATATAGAAATAAAAATAAAAATACATATTGCATTCATTTAAAATTAGGTTTAGTGTCAGAATTTCAGTTCAATGTTAAATGTTTAATTTTTTCAATAATTATTAATCTTTAGTTATTACGGTTTCAAGTTATAAAAATTTTGAAAACAATTTACAAATAATAAATTAGAATCATAGTCGATATTTTTATTTATTCATTAAGGGGTTACGCCACCCTGAACTTTTCAAAAAAATTTATTTTTTTTTTGCTTAATTTCAAAGTTTATATTCTAACAAATATTTTGAGATGTCGCCGAAGACAATGTCTCACTAATTACAAAAGTTATGGTCATTAGAAGTCAGCGCGGTGGGGACGCGCCGAGAGCTGCTGGAAGCAGCGACTTTCTATTTTCGAATGGTCTAGGGGGCCCTTTCATGATTTAGGAAGAGTCCTTTTCATTGTATCCCTTCCATTCTTAAATAAAAAAAATTATGGCCCAGGAATTGCTGATTAAATAGTAAATTGAAAAATTTTCAAGTTATAATACACTAAAGTTCATTTTTTTCTTCTTTTGCGTTTTTCTCGAAACCACAATTTTCGAGACGGTGTACACGATAACTCAAAAAATATTCAGTCGATTGACTTGAAAATTAATATACATCTTCCTAAATAGATTTTCCACAGAGTGACGTAGGATTTTTTTGATTGAATAATTTGAAAATTTTTTATCCAATTTTTTATACGGTAATTTTAGCCAAAAAAAATGTCAATTTTTGAAGTGCTTCCATTTGCGTAAAAAAATTTTTTTTTAAATGGCTTCGTCACTTTGTTCAAAATTTATCACTTTTTAAGAAAAATATTGTTTTACTTGTTTCTGACAAAAATTGAACTGCCAATCATGTACACCATCAAGGAGTGCTCCGGAAAAATTGATCCACGCCAATAGTTATATCTCCGCCATTTTTAATTAAAAACAATTTTTTTTTAAATATTTATAAAGCTCAATATATGTACTAAAGCATCAATAAATGTAAAGAAGTCCTACCTGAAACAGTTTTATCAAAAAAATTCCTAAAAAACCATCCGATTTTCATGCGTTCAGGGTGGCGTAACCCCTTAAAGGAGGATTGGTAAATTCTGGATTCCATTATTTAACAATATTTACTGTGGTTTCTTTAAGATTCCGAAAAAAAATTTAACAACGGAAACATTTTTATACAAAATTTTGTATAAAAGTATTCGGGATTTTAGACATTTGATAAATTAGACATTCGGGACAGGGCCTTTCAGGAAAATGACCGGAAGCGATGTTACTCATTATATATAGCACTTACTGCTTTTTAGAATTTAAGATTTACTTAATTCTTTAATAACATTTAACAAGTTAGTTAACAGTTTAAAAACTTATTTATTATTTAATTTAAAAAAATATTTTAAAAATAAAGAAACTGAAAAAAGTTTTCATGGTTTTTAGTTTAAAAAAGCACTCTTTTGAAAATTTTGAACTTATTATAATGTTTCTACTTGGTATTAAAAATTATGCAATCGCATAATCTACCTTTCTCTAATTATTTATTTGAACTCTCGGAGCACATTTTGGATCTTTGTGACCCTGTATTTTATTTTAAACTTAAATTTCTTTAAAATTTTAGGGCTTGTGACCTAAGAGTAACTGATTTAGATTTAATCAACACGTTCTAATAATCCCTTAGTACAGTGCCAGGGTGGTCACAAGTTTCAGTTTATTAATTTCCCTGACAATTTACTGACATTAAATTTATTTTCCCTTGCAAAAGTCTTTTTATAGGAAACAAAAAAAAATTAACTAAAGTAACTAAAAATTGTGAAATTTTGTTTTAATGTTTGGAGAAAAGTCGAAAATGTCATTTTTCAAAATAAGTCGAAAAAAGTCTCAATTTGTATATTTCCCTGACAAAGAATTTTTATCCCGACATTTCCTCGTCCTTACAATCAAAATTTTTTCCTCTGACATTTCCCTAACTTTACTGACATGTGGCCACCCTGAGTGCTTTATTTCGTCGCGTCACAAAAAAAACGACTCCAACAAGGGGTGTGACAAGGGGGAGGAAGGTCAAAAAAGTGTGACGTAGTTAATGGATGACCTTTAACATACAAGAAGTAGGATTATTACATACTACATTATAGAACTTATTTTTCATTTATTGTGACACTATTCGAGAAGATAAGTAAAATATTATTTGGAAATATTAAAAATTATAACTAGGTATAATTTTTTAAACTATAATTTTTTCCTTTGTCGCAAAATTGTTAACATTTATCTTTTTTCTATAATAAATTATTTATAATGAAACTCTTTTTAATATATTTAAATAATCTATTTAAAGCAGGTTAATATATGATAATTTTTAACGGTTGAGAATCATATATATATATATATATATATATATATATATATAAGAGGTGTGCAAAAAGCTCGAATAGCATGGTCGAGCTCGAGCCGGGCTCGAGTTTTAGTTACTCAAAAATATTTGAGAGCTCGAAAAATTCAAGTGCTCAAAATTATTTTAGGTTTAATACTGCACGTGTCGGATGGAATTTGGTTTAAGTTCGGATTGATTCTGATCAGCTCTGCTAGAAAAACGAAAAGCTTGAAAATACTCGATCGAGCTTTTTGCACAACTCTAATATACATATATGGATGATTGAATTAAAAATGTCATTTTTGATCTTACTAACTTTGATTTTTCGATGTTGGATTTCGAACATAACGATACTCTTTTTTGGTTCACCTGAACATATGATGGACAAAAATAGTAGTGGTCGAGCAGGTGGAAGCAAATTTTAATTTTCACCAGGTGAAAACGATAGGTAGAAATTATATGAAATTTTCTGTTTTCGTTTATTCTTTTCTTAAATAAATTCTTACAACTTTAAAAAGTTAAAATATTTTAAACTACAATAGTGAATGTGTCAACATGACTTAAAAAATATTTGTAATGAGTTCTGTTATAAATTATATACTTTTGAAGACCAAAAAAAACCAGCTTATAAATTACAATCTAGTATCAAATCTTTATTAACAACATATAAGAAGTAAATTTAACACAAATTTATTAAAAATTAAATAATAACATGAAGAACACCACTGAAATTTTGTTTCATTTCTCAATTTCGAAAAAGAAAGAATTTATTTTTAAGTTAAAATCGTTGTGGTATTTAAAGTACGTATAATAACTGAAAATAAGATACAATAATATTTAAAATATTATTAATATGAACAATTTTTTGATGGGGACACCACTGACATAATGTGCTTAACAAAGCGTTACTCGCTTTCTGTCACCAACCGTACAAGTTATAGATGTGATAGAATGTTGTAATGTTTTTTCTTAAAGAAGTCATACATATCACCAAAACTATTAACGCTTAATAAGGCAATTAGCTGCACTAGGTTATTTAAATAACAGGTATGATATTCGAAATTTGCGATATTTACTTAAAAATATGAAACTTACGGACAGGCGATTTTGATTTTTTTTCTAGCAGTGAATAAAAATATTTCTGTTAGCACATTTACTATATAAAATTGTTACATCCCGGTAACAAAAGTTCTTTTATAAGAAATTAAAATAAATAATTTTTTTATATATATCACATAAATAATTTTTGAAAATAGTATAATATATTATTATAAATTTAGGAAGTTGTCAAAATGAATGCTTTAGGTATGACTAATTGAGAGAGGAACTGTGTAAAACATGATACAAATGTAGCCAGATTAGATTCTTGCACTGACCTTCTCTCAATCGTCAACATCACGTACGACTTTATTACAGCATCGACGCATGGTATTGAGTACATTGAACTCTTTATAAATATTCAGATCAGAATAAAATCTTAAATGAAATACCTGAAGCATTTAAACCTAAATTTTAAAAGGAAACATACTTTTTACTCTACTAAACCACATTGTTGAACGTACAATTCTATTATAAATATAAAATTTTTTAATGATAACTAACACTATTATAAATTTTACATCGTTCATTGTCATTCATATTATAACAATAGAATTGTATAAAAACCATGTTGTTTGGTAAAATATTGTATTAATTTCAAAATTTCTGAAATAAGTTCGAAAATCAAAATTAAAATTATAAATGCGAAGCATTGCTAGATGTAAACATTTGTTTTACGTGACCTAAGGGATGCTTCCATTCGCTACACAAAAGACTTCTTTGTCTAAGAGGATGCATTTTCAATGAATCCATTTAAGTCTAGGAAATTCTATTCGTGACTCTAAAATTATAACTCGATCAAGACGTGATAATTGACCATTTTATTGCATTTTGGCACTATATAACCCCAGGACTCTCCAGGGTAGAGTCAGTCATTTCTTCACTTGCGCGATATTGTGGTCACTCTTCACGTCAGTCCGAAACTCTGCAGAATCTTTGACAAAATTATAAGTCTTGCAGTTTCTAACAGTACAAGTAAATTCGTGTTCTTAAAGAATAAATTCTCTTGATCGCCTGAATTGTGAGCCTATTTTATAATAAAAGATGCAAGTGTTTCCTTATTGTGACATTTTGTGAACAATATTTTGTATAAGTCGAAGCGACCCTTCGGTTTCACACTATTGATACCATAAGACTTGCAGTTTCTAACAGTACAAGTAAATTCGTGTTCTTAAGAATAAATTCTCTTGATCGCCTGAATTGTGAGCAAATATTCAAATTGTTGAAAACCGTCGTATTAGTGTAATTCTATAATGAACTCTAAATTGACATATTAGATTTCAAGAATTACGAACTAAAACAGTGAGTGTGAAACAACCGTTCTGTAAGGAGTTGAATGATCATAAACTGCGTCAAATCTGTATTTCGTTTCCGCCCTCTTCAGAGGTAATTGTAAGTAGATTTAAATTATAAATAACACACAACTTTATCATTATCAAAATTTTTAACACTATAAATTGTATTTTTCTCTCATTACTTTCATAAAATAAACTATAATAAAGAAAAAGAATACATAAAATAATTGATTAGACTATTATTATTATTTCCTAAATCATAAAATTAAATCAAGTAGCTTAAATAATAATGAAGCAATATAATTATTTTCTTTTAAATAAAGGACAATCCCCATAGGATTGATAGATAACAACGATCTCACAAATAAATAAATAATCAGAACTTACCAATCTGATCGTAATCAGCCTACCTTGCCTCTCTATATATGTGTATATTATCTATGTATATTGTTTTATTTTAAAACAATTATTTAAATAATAATTTAACCTCGCCTTCTGCTCGGGATGTAACAAAATATTGACTCTCAGCTGTACAAAATAATTTTTTTTGTACTAAAAGTGTGAGAATCAACCATTTTTATTATTAGGTAAAATTCTGATTTCTTAAGTGCGGACAAGAGACACCGCACTGACATTTTGCTTATAATTCTTCTGCCAAATTTTTTCAGAGAATTCCTAGCGACTAAGAATTATTAATTTAAGAAGAAGGAGTGATTAAGAAAATTAATTTACTTATAAGACTTTTATATATGAACTAGTATTCCAGATTTTTGGGCTGATAAAAATGTCATTTTAATTTTAATCACCCATATATTAAATTTGAAAATTACTATAAATTATAAAGACCATGATTTCTCAAAAATTGTAATAAGTCCAAACAGTGAATTTTCATAAACTTTTATTTACATTGTTCAAAGATAATTTAATCTTAAAAAATTATTATAAAATAATTCTAATAATTAATTATTAATTAATTCTTCTAATTAATTTAAAAATATTTTAATGTAATTTTTTGAAAATAATTGACTTTCTTAAAAAAATTTTTATAATTTAAAAAAACTAATTATTTTTAAAAAATTTTAATTAAAAATTTTTAAATTGATTGTTTCTTACTAAATGTTGAAAAGAATTCTAAAATCTTAATATTATTATATTTATTTGAATTTTTAAAAATATGTATTTGAAAATACTGAAAACATTAAATTTAAAAAAATTAGAAGCTTTCAATTTTAAATTTAGTTACCTTTAATGGTTTTTTTATTAAAATTTTTGATAATTTAATTATTTTTATGCAATTAAAATTCTTCAGAAATTGATTTTTAGTAAAACTTGATTAATTTCCCTGACAAAAATTATTTTTCTGACATTTCCCTGATTTACTGACAAAAAATTTGATTCTCTGACATCTTCCTGACTTCACTGGCAAAAATTTTGTTTCACTGACATTTTCCTGACTTTACTGACATATGGCCACCCTGTTTTATTTATTATTAAATTTTTAACAATTTAACTTACCGTTAAAACACAAAATACGTCCTTCGAATTTTAAACCTTTGTGCACGATTATGTATACATCAGTGTCAATTTGTTGTAATACATTTTTTGTGTCACATACAGTGTAGGAACCCTTAGACCAACTCAATAAGGCGAACATTTTCGATTCTAGGTTAATAATTACACTGGTTTACAGTGAAATTGCCAATCGAACAAAACAATTTTTTTTCGAATAGTAGGTGTTTTTTGAGTAAGAAAATCATAGTTTTAATTTTTTTCCCTTGTGCAGTTTTTCTGTAGCTTCAAATTTTGCATTTTCGAGGTGCGACGCCACTTAAACTTACCTGTAGGAAAATTAGCTTGTCAAAATATAATAAATGAGGTATCATTGGAAAGGTTATTAAATTACCTTTCGATCCATAGGTCACAGAATAAAATTCAACAAAAATTGAGAGAGTTACAGTCGATTAAAGATGAAATTTCATGACAATTTTGATGATTTTTAGACATTTGAGTAACTTCTACTATTTTTTTCTACATCAAACAGGAAAGAATGTTTAGGTTTTAATTTTTTTATTGATAGACTATATCATTACACAAATTTTGAGCCCTTGTGGACCTCGATTGGACCTCTACACAATTTTTGAAATCTGACATCAGATTCGTAATCAGCGACCCCGAAAACCCCCGAGTAACGAATTTAAGACGAATTTAATCGATTTTTAAAAACTTGACGCCATATTGGATCCGCCATTTTGAAATTTAGAAAACTAACATTAGATTCGAAATCTACGATTTCAGAAATCCTTTATTAGTGATTTTAGTAACTTTAGAGCTTAACTAAATTTTATTACTTCAATTTTTGCTGCAAATGTTTAAGGGATACTAAAAATGAAGAATGTAGTTTCGTTCACTAAATTTAGTGTAGAATTGTCATTTTTAATCCAATCGAGGTCCACAAGGGCTCAAAATTTGTGTAATGATATAGTCTATCAATAAAAAAAATTAAAACCTAAACATTCTTTCCTGTTTGATGTAGAAAAAAATAGTAGAAGTTACTCAAATGTCTAAAAATCATCAAAATTGTCATGAAATTTCATCTTTAATCGACTGTAACTCTCTCAATTTTTGTTGAATTTTATTCTGTGACCTATGGATCGAAAGGTAATTTAATAACCTTTCCAATGATACCTCATTTATTATATTTTGACAAGCTAATTTTCCTACAGGTAAGTTTAAGTGGCGTCGCACCTCGAAAATGAAAAATTTGAAGCTACAGAAAAACTGCACGAGGGAAAAAAATTAAAACTATGATTTTCTTACTCAAAAAACACCTACTATTCGAAAAAAATTGTTTTGTTCGATTGGCAATTTCACTGTAAACCAGTGTAATAAAATCTGGTTAGGATTAGGTTAGACATAAAAAATATTAAATTAATTAAAAATAGTAGAATAAGCTAAGTATTAGGATCAATATCAATTTTTTCATTTTAACAAAACACGTATTTCACAATTCAAAGTAAAGTATTTTAATAAAAGTTATAATTACCTTTTAGTACATTTCTACACTATTCTGAAAATTATTTTCTTCCAAGAAATAATGCGGACAATCAACGATTTGATAAGATCTATTAAACGAACAAATATCTAATTTATGGCTAAAAAACAGCTTCTCGATTATATGACACAGTTAGATAAAATGTCTCCAATAGGTCTACATAGGTGCGTACCAACCAGGGTTGCAAAGTTACGCGTAACTTGAGATTTTCGGCGGTAAATTACATAAATAAGTAATTTACCGTATTCAACGGTATAAACTGGTAAATTGGGCTGTTTCACTACATCGAGATATTTTGAGTTCGAGTATGACGTAGATAGCTGGAAGGAAAACAAGCAGAGGACACAATGCAATTCTTAGGCCGCAGTCCCATGGCAGCGTTTTGCGTTGCGTCGTAATGGGAGAGAAAAAGACGCAAATATACGTTTGCTGCATTCTCTCCCATTACGACGCAAAGCAAAACGCTGTCATGGGACTCCAGCCTTATGGCAGAAACAAGAAGACTAGGAGAATACGTACAAAAACCATGGACGTAAGAAATCCCTATATTAAAGAACCAGTAGAAGCGGGTAGAATCAGGAGCCTACTTGCTTTGACTTGGTTATTGTCACGTAAGTTCCAATTTCAAACCAGTAGATATGTATTTTCAGCTGGTTTGAATTCGGAATGTCAAGTTCAAAATGAACTGGTTTCAGTTTGAACATTACAGTCAACCGGAAATTCCAAGTAGGTTACATTGTACAATATGAACTTGTTTCAACTTGGATATCGATTCATAATTGGAAATCTAAGGTGGTTACAATTGAACAGATAGTTTTGAAAAAAAATATTTGTGGAAAAAATAATAAAAGATTCTTATGACCATTAATAACTTCATATTCTTAGCACGCTCCAAACATACAAACATTTTAATTAAACTAGGAGAATTAAATTAAAACTTGTACCCTATAGGAATCAAACCCCGCACCTATGAACTATAAACTATGACCTATCTAAACGCTTAACGACCGCGTCTATCGAATCGACGTGATAAATATTTTTCGACCTGTCTATATAAACTGCAACTTTGAAAAACGTAAGTTTATGTAAAATATTATAATTTTTGTAAGTACGTATAAAAATACAAGCAGAATTTAAAATATTTATATAGATTTGCAATATATGCTATTATGTTAAAAATATTAATTAAATATTTAATAAGTTTCTGCTCAAATGTCATTTGACCGCGTTGTAATTTTTTGCAAAAAATAACATTAAGCGAAATAAAAAACAGAAAATTCGTAAAAATTAAAATTCGCAAAATGACTCATCTGTGTTAAAAAAATTCCATTGATTTTCTAAAATGTTAAAACCTTTATGAAAATCTGTAGTTCACAACAAAACAATAAAACACTCTTAACCGTTTTTTGAAATTTAAAATTTTTTTGCATTAACAAAATATAACAAAATTTAAAAAAAATTAATAACTCAAAAGCCGTTTACCATAAATTAATAAAACTTACACTGATTATACAAAATTGTTCACTCTCTTAAAAGAAAATATTTGCATGATTGTAAATTTGAAAATTCCATATTTTTATTAACAATTTTATAAACAATTTGAATTATTTATGTGTTTTACCCCTCCAATTGTAATGAAACTCATATAGGAGGTATACTCAGTAGTCTCTTCTTGAAGCCCCTAATAAAAAATTGTTGTATTTTCAATTTGGAATGTACATAACGAATTTTTTATTAAAAACCCAGTAATAAGGGGTGAATTAAAGTGGATTGGCACTTTAATGCTCTTAAATTCCAAACTAATTCCGTTTTTGTCCGCAATCTTAATGAATTCCTTTTCTATTGTTAAATTGATAATTTCTATCCAATTCAATTCTCTGTAACCACGTGACCAGAATTTGAATCCCCTTTAATGCCCTTTAAAGAACTCAATGTTAATTAAAAGGCATTAACTCCACACAAAATGATTCCCTTAAACGGCATTAAAGTAAATTCAGACTCTTGTCACGTGGTTACAGAGAATTGAATTAGATAGAAATTATCAATTTAACAATAAAAAAGGAATTCATTAAGATTGTGGACAAAAACGGAATTGGTTTGGAAGTTAAGGGCATAAAAGTACCAATCCACTTTAATTCACCCCTTATTACTGGGAACGCTCGTCCACTCCACAATAGGAAAAATTTGATTGTCGTGGAAAATTCAGTCTAGACGTTACAATTATTATTTGTTTTTAATACATTTTTTTTTAATGAAAGACTAAATTTTCCACAATAATCATGAAAATATTTTCTATTAAAAGAGTGAACAATTTTGTGTAAATAGTATAAGTTTCGATAATTTATTGTAAATGGCTTTTGAGTTATTAATTTTTTTTTTAATTTTGTAATATTTTGTTAATGCAAAAAATAACAAAAATTTCAAATTTTAAAAAAAAGGTTAAAAGTGTTTTTTTTTTGCTTTGATGTGAACTACAGATTTTCATAAAATTACAAAATTCACAAAATTACAAATAGCAATAGTAACAAATTCATAAAAAAATAAAATTTGCAAAACAACAATTAGCAGAAATAATGATTCATAACAAAGCAGTTTCGCAAAAAATAACATTTAGCAAAAGTATCTACCAATTTGTAAAACTGTCAATTGCGAAGAATGCAAGTTTGCAAAAATAAAATTTGCAAATAACAGTTAACTAAAATAAATATTTGTAAAAATGTAAATTTGTAATAATAATTCTTTGCAAAAATAACAATTTATAAAATAACAGTTGGCGAAAATGACAATTTTATGAATTCCAATTAGCGATTAATCAAACTCTTTAAATTTGAACTTGAAATTCTAAATAGAATGCATCCCCGATTCAAATTAAACCAAGATGACATTAATCCTTCACTGTGCTATATAAATTTGGAGTTGGAAGTTCCAAAGTCAAGCTTGTTGATTTTTAATTTGACAGGACAAGTGAAATGTAGTATTCGAGAATCCAAATTGAACCAAGTAGATACTTAAACTTAATTTTTGTATTTGGAAATGCAAGCTGATACTTGTAGTACGTGCGAACTTGGAAATACAAGTAGAAATGATAAGATTGGAAATCCATGTTAAAACAAGTCAAAAAAAAATTGAAGAGGACAATCCAAGATAGAGCCATTTCAATTTTATCTTGGATATCCGTTTCAGTTACATAAATAGGATTTACAAGTTAAAACCAGTAGAATTGCTACACGGAAAAGTTTTTCAATTTGGAAAGCAAGTTGACACCAGTAGATCCATGTTCAATTTCTACTAGTCTCAACTGGTTCTTTAATATAGGGATATAGGGGCATGGCATATAGATGCGGGGGGTTACTTTTAAGTCCGTAAGGGGAGGCGTTGGCGAATTGCTAATTGGTTAACTCTTTAACGCCCAAATGGACAAAATTTTGGCATGAAGTTTGAGGACTTATTTCGGTACTTAAAAATCAATAGAAAAATTCACGAATCATCATTTCTTATGTTTTCATATGCACTCTATCGAATGGCGTTAAAAAAAAGTCAAAAATTTATAAACAAAAAAGTTATTAATGTTTTTTATAAAAAAAGTCCGATTTTTTTTCAAT